TCTTTTTTTTATTGGCTTTTCTTCACTCACTTTCATTCGCTTCAAACAAACTTCATCATCGTCATCTTCCCATTCAATAGAGTCTTTGTCTTCTCTTATTTTTAACTCATTTTGATCTACATCTCCAAAACTCTCAGACATGACTCTGTGGTGTTCTCTTCTTGATTCTGTAAAATGACTCACTTCCCTTTTTATAGGGAATACCCTATTTTTAAGTTCTCAACCCTTAATTTAGATTCTATATAAATTTCAGTCTCTAACTAGAAAGAATTAGTTTAAGCGTTTTGACGTTTTCCAGATAATATTTTTCAATTTTTCTTTTCCCAAGAAGAGAAAGATATTTTGTGTTATTCAAAACACAAATCTTATAAAAGAAAATGACATTTCATTTTGAGATGGTGTTAGTGTTATTCTTCATAGTAACTTGTTTTGGTATTGAATGCCCTAACAACACATTCTTCGACAACGGAAACTGCGTTGTCTGTTCACCATATTGTGTTGAAGGTAAGTGTGATATAGAAAAAGGATGTGTTGAATGTATCAATCATTTTCAAGAATCAAATAAATTATGTGAAAGTAGTTGTGAAGAAAATAAATATTATGATGGAGATAATTGTGTTGATTGTTCTCAACATTGTATTAATGGATATTGTGATAAGTTAGATGGTTGTACATTATGTCAAAGAGGGTATTTGGCTTTCAATAAAACATGTATTGATACGTCATGTGGAGAATTATGTAAGCCAGGTTATTGCCAGTCTAGTGTATGTTCCAAGTGTGTAGATAACTATGTATTAATAAACAATACATGCTTTGATAATTCATGTAATAAATGTGAAGTTGGACATTGTAGTAATGGGTATTGTGATGATTGTATTAAAGGGTGGTATGTGTATCAGGCACAATGTTGGGGTTTGTTTTTAAAGTAAGTCATTAAACCAAGAAATATAGTTTACATTGATAGAATGCCCTTCAAATTGTACAGAGAGTGGATGTGAAGATGGGTATGGATGTACTGAATGTGTTGATGGAATGCATTTAGATTCTGGAAAGTGTGAAGTTAATATTCCAGAGGAAGAAAATAAAGAAAAAAATTGGAGATTGGGATTATACATTATATGTCCTCTTCTTGGAATATTGCTCATAGGAAATGTCTTTGTAATAGTTCTATATATTATAAGAAAATTTAGAAACAATTCTTATACTTCTTTATCAATGAATTAACTTCTTTCTTTAGTTTTTGGAAATCTTAAAAATTAAACAAAAATGAAATATTTTGATTGTTTTTTTTTTCTTTTTAAGAAAGTCAAAAAATATAGATTTATTTAATGATAAGAGAAAAAATGAGAACTAAAAAAATATAGATAACTATGGATGTTAATGAAATACGTCGTAAACGTCTTGAGGCATTCAAAAATAAAACAAATAAAGTAGAAAGCTCTAATCAAATAGATAAAATACAACAAGAGAGTATTAGTCAAACAAGCAAATTAATTGAAAAAAAAGACAAGGTTGATGAGGAAAGTAAAAAACAGAAGGCTTATTTGTACTTAATTCAAAAGGTTTTTCAGTGTAAAATGACAGATAGTAGTGAGTATGGAGATATTGATTGTAAAGAATTTTATAGTGACCATTTAGTGGTTGATGAGTCTTTTATTGAAATGATTATATTACATTGCCTAACAAATCCAAAAAATCTTATGTCATTAAGTTATTTAGCTGAATGTCTTAACAGGTTATCTGATTGTGTATATCTTGACAAAACGTTATTAGAAATGATTAAAAAAAAAATTATTGATTTTATGGTTATTGTACTACAATGCCCTGATTCATTTCCCAGTACAGAATCAGTATATACAATGGTTTGGAAATTAATTTCTGGAAGTCAAGGAAAAGTGATAATGAAAAGCATTGAAAATCATCCAGATATGATGGAAATAACAGAAATATTCTATCAAGTATTTTTAGACCAACTTGGTAAAATCAAACTAACATCTCCTGAATTTTTTGAATTCTTTTCATTTATTGATAATTTATTAATGAATGAAGCTGTTGCATTAAATATTGTTTGTCATGATAATTTTTTACCAAAAGAAATGACAATAAATCAATTATCAAACACATTATTAGGTAGACTACTTCAAATTTTCTTTCTTGAGAAATTAGATGGTTATGGTGATCCTTTGAAAGATGACTATTTAATTGTATTACAAAGACTATTACCTGCAGGAGCAACAGGACAAAAAATGATTGGTGAAATACTTTGTTCATTAATGAAATATGAAGATAGTAGAGAACAAACTTTTAAATGGATAGACTGTTTCTATACAATTAATAAAGAAAGAATGAAAATTGAATATGATAAAGATAGTGTATTTCCTGATTCATTGTTGTTACTCTTTTATTATTCTTTATGTTATGTATTTGCAAAAGAAATTAAAAAGTCAACAGTTAACTTTAATTATTTCTTAAACACAAATATTCTTGAACTTGAAAATACTACATTATTTCAAGCTACTCCTAGTGAAATTAAACAACTTATTTTTATTAATGGATCATATACTAATTCATTGGATTTGACTCATTCAACCTATCCTATTCAAAGTGATGTTAAATTTCCACAAATTAAAGTAGAAGCACCATCTCTTTCAACCCTACTATTCTTTACTATTTTAAAATTATCTCCAGTATGTTTAACTCAAATATTGCATACTAACGAAAATATTATTAGAGCTTTATCAAGAGCTAGAAAAGAACAAAATGTCTATGTATGTGATTATCTTAAACGAATATTACTTTCTAATAATGCTCAACAGTTTAATGCCGATGCTTGTTATAGTATGAATAATTTTTGTGAATATCTTGTTAAATTTATCTTTCATTGTCTACCTCAAAATATCTCTCCATTGTTAAATCAGTCTAATGAAATCCCTCTATCTTTAGCACTTCTTCCAGAATACATTATTGGTATTTTATCTGATTTCATTCATAGTGAATCATTTATTACATCTAATCATCTTAAATCTTCAATGAGTTTACCTGAGGGTTTTGATGTTATTATTTGTTCATTTGTTTCATCACAACACATTTGTCATAATCCTTATGTAAGGTCAGAACTTGGAGAAGCTATTACTTGTGCTATTCTAAATGAAAAAGATGTTTTTAACAGACCATACAAATTATTACTGAACGAATTTTGTAAACAGCATTTGATATTCTCATTACTTTGTTTTTATGTGGATTGTGAGAAAACAGGAAGTCATTCTCAATACTATGACAAATTAAATTGGAGAAAAATGCTTCAAGAATGTTTTAAGACATTATGGGAGTTTGAAGACTACCAAAAGAAAATGATTGAAATATTTGAGTCAAACAATGAGAGAATATTCCCTGCATTTGTACAGTACATTATTAGTGACACTAATTTAATATTAGAAGACTCATTATTAAAATTAAGTGATATTAAAATTGCAGAAGATAAGCAAAAAGATAAAGAAAAATGGAATCGATTAGATAAACAAACACAAAATGATATTATTCGTTCTATGAAAGAAAATACTTCAATAGTAAAGAATTTATTTGCAAGCACAGAATGTACATTCAAATTCTTAAAGCTAGTTCTTCAAAAAAGTCAACGACCCTTTTTAGATAAATTAGTTATTAATGATGTTGCTGCATGTTTTAATTATTTCTTGTCATGTATTGTAGGAGAACGGTCAAGTGAATTCAAAGTGAGTAACTTTGAAATGTATAATTTTCATCCCAAAGAAATGTTAAATAGTTTCTTTGATATCTTCTTATATCTTGGTCAAAATGATAAGTTTATTCAAGCAATATATGAAGACACTCGTTCCTTCAAAGAAAAAACCTTTGAAGCTGCTTTGGTTAATGTTAAGTATATTCACTCTAAGTCAGAAAGAGAAATGGAAGAATTCCAAAAATTGATTGATAAAATTAAAAATTATTCTTCTCATGATATCTTTGCTCAAGTTGAAGAGATGGTTGGTATGGATCTTCCTGAAGAATATTGTGACGCTTTACTTGGAACATTAATGAAAGACCCTGTTAAACTACCTAATAGTCATGTCATTGTTGATCGTACGACTATTGAAAAACATTTAATGAATGCTAAAGAAGACCCATTTGATAGAACACCATTAGAATTATCAATGGTGATTCCAATGAATGATCTGAAACAAAAAATCATGGAGTATGTTATGGAAAAAGCAAAAGAACTTAAGCTGAAATAATCATAATCTATCATCTTTCGACTTTTCTTCTTTAATTTCGTTTACTTCTTCAATTAACTATAACAAAAAAGATCAATTAAAAGATATATATTCAACTAAATTTTACAATGGTTGAGAATTGATTATTTACATGAATTTAATATGTTCTGATTCTGTCATATTGTTCATTTCCAAAACATGATAACTAGCAAACTCTTCTTCTAATATGCTCTAGAATAAATAGTCAAAGAAGAAAAATAATAAACTAAATGTTTATATGGCTATTTAAATGAAAAGAAATTGATAAAATAAATAAAGACGACAATAACATAACTGAATATAAATTAAATTGGAGACAAGCACAACAATAATTATAAATCTTAAATAATACAATAAATAGCAATAAAAAATATTAGTAAAAAATGTTTCACTTAAAACAAATAAGAAATAATAATGACAAATAAAAGCGAAGAAAGTTAAAAACACTACATTATACTAAAATAAACAAAAGAAAACAAAATGGCATAAAAAATAATTGATAAATAACATATTAAAAGGATTATAAATACATGACTCATAACAGTATAATAAATATGAATGACAGTCTAAAAATAAAGAAAGAACAAAAAGCTAATAATACTGATTCTAATTCTAATTTAAAATATTTAATAATTTCTTTTTTTCATTGAACTTAACCTTATAACAATTTGATAATTAAACACTAAGATAATAATTCAAAACACTATACACAAACACTAAAATAAAGTGTATTATTCATTAGTATTTATTATAATAGCAGTACTAAAGAAATACTATTTAGCAACACGCAAGTATATTTGATAATGACTTTTTTTTGAATTGAGCAAATATATGATATTATCAAGAATAAAGTGATTGTTAAGTGGTTGATTGCATTGAATGAGATACAAGATAATAATAAAGTGTTATTGATATATTCAACATTAAATAAGAAAATAAACAATGATAAATTTTAATATTCCATAAGTTCAAAATAAAAACAAATAACAACTTAAATGAAGAATATTTAAGTAGAAATTGTTTGAAAAACTTAAATTCAAATTAAACAACAAAATATATTGAAGAAATGGAAACACTCACTTCTCAACATAATGAGATACTAACTGTTAATGAAACCAAAGTTGATATCTTTTTATTTTTTTTTCATTTTTATGAAAGTCTTTGTATTTTATTCATTGGCTATTGTTATTATCGTTACTATCGAATTTGATTGTAATCATGGTACAAATCAAATATTCAAGAACATTGTGATATATTCCAATGACAATAAATATGGTTAATTATTTGAACAACCAACATTTGTCATTATTTACCTTTCCTTTTCAAATAGTGATAAATAAATGAAATGTATTGAGGTAAATTTAAGTATCATATGACTATTAATAATAAAAGAAAAGAAGAAATAAATTAAACAAGTAAAACAAAAGTCTGAAATATGTTATTTACTTCATTCATCATTTTCAATATTATTATAATTTACAGTACAAAGTTGAAAATAATAAAACAAAGAAAGAGTTAAACAATTAAATTAAATGAATAAATATTAAATAACATGTATATAAACAAAATTCATTTAGTTTAATCAATTATTAATTTAGGAAATTTAAAACAATAAAAACTATATAAAATAAATACTAACATATTTAAAATACATTATAAAGAAATTCTATTTGTTTGGATGTTTCTTTTGTGAGCTTATTTCATTGATTATTTCATTATTTATATATTCTTATTTCTGCATTTCACTTGTCTTATATATTTTAAGTAACATGAAACAGAATAATATAATAATTAATAATTAATAGACTGTTTAAATTCTTTTTATTACTTTGTTGAATTAAAATTAGTTTTATTAATTATCAACATCAAACACATTTTATTTGAAAATAATTTTTTGATAGCAATTCTGTATTGAATGAATTGATATTTCTTTCATAGTAACTACTGAATTTATTGTTAATTTCATTTAGATTAACATTATTTTCAAACCTATCTAGTTATTATTGATAATTTTATGAAATATTGAAGTTTAGAATGACAAGAGATAACATAAGACATTCATGCATTATAATTATTATTTTTCTCATTATAGTTCACTTCTATTTCAATTAATAATTCATTTCTATAATAATTAATGAAAATAAAAATAGCATAATTAAATTATAATTATTCAGACTATTATTAAATCAACTATTGTAAGATGATTTTAAGATAATGAAAGTAATTGTTTAACCAATAAAAATAAAGAATAGTTGAATTAAAATAAGAGTATGCAATAATATGTTGTTTCAAAAATAAATATATTAAAATGACATTGATTTAACTTATATGGTATATAACAACAAAAATACAAGATAAAACACTTGAATAATGCAGAGATTCTTATTGATAAATAACAAATAAGAATATCATTTCAAAGAGGCATTGTTGATGTTTTCATTTTCACTGAATAATAATTATCTTGTTCTTATTCATTTAATTTTTATGATATTACCTAATTTTAATATACTTCTATTGACTCATTCTAAGTATAATTATGTTTATAATTACTAATAATTTCTTTTTTATTTATTGTGAATGTTGTATGGTTATTACTATACTCATCAAGTACTTTCTCTGAATTAAGACTCGTGACTAATATAAATGAAATATAATGCATTGGAACATGAAACATAAGGGTAAAGCAAATTTCATTTTACAGAAAATACAATTGTAATATTTGATGTAATAATAAATTCTTCTTATCTTAAATGAAAATAAAATATCCAAACAAACACAATACTTGAAGAAAATTACTGATTACTTGTTTATAGAATGTGTATTGTATAACAGTAATGTTTTATTAACAATAATTCTTTTTTTTTAATTCGTTGTTAGTAACTCATTTTCTAACAAAGAAATTAGGTACAAACACTCTGACAAGATGAAAAATATTAAACATAAAATGTTTATAAGATTGTTTCAAGTTATAAAAATACAAAATCAAATTCTATTTCTAAGTTAAGCATTATCACAAAAATCATGAATATAAACTAGTCTTAAACATATTTAAACACTTTTATGTTAAAACCTCACAATCAAAAATGCAGTTAATTATATATATTATTTTGATTTATCGTTTAAATTGTTTCTTTCTATAAATTTAAAAAAAGAAAAACAGTTAAAAGAAGATTGTGTTTAATAATTTTTAAGAGTGTTGATTATAATAATTCACAGATCATGCAAATAACTTGGTTTTTGTCTAAAGAAGGTAAATTGAATATCATCTGATTGTAATAACTCACCAATTGATGGATCAGAATATATCCATTCATTTGTACTTGACAGCCTAGTAGAATATAAGACATTATTCCTCTTGTAAATCGCAGCAATACAATCATATTCCATTCCATTAACAACAATGGATTTCCCAAGGTTTAAAGGAACATCTAAATGAGCAAGTTCAACACACAAGATTTTTGGTGCAAATAAATATTCA